TTGCTTGGATTTCAGGTGCTCTTCCTGGTGTCTTCTGTGCAGACACTGGAGCTGATCAAGGCAGGTCGTTACCAGTAGTGTGGAGGGTTCCCTCCTCATCTGTGCACCAAAAGGACTTCGAGGTTGGGGAAACTAGCCCTCAACCTGGGTTCCTATAAACGCTGCAGCTAAAGGTGCTACCAAAATAGTATTTGGTGGTTAGAGACCTAAATTCTCTGTTTTTTCCTCTCGTGAGCATGTGCTGACCCACACAAACTCTTGCTCCTTGTTGCAGGAGTACATCCGCCTGCTGCAGCCCTGGTGCCACGTGAACATGGGCTCCTGCTGCTTCATGATGGGTAGATGCTACCTGGTCATGGGTGAAGGGCACAAGGTAAGAAAGACACCGTTCTCCTTCCAGCATTGCCTCCCTGCCAGGGCCTGGGGCTGCAGTCCTTCTTGGGAGAGAGAGAGAGCGTACGGAGGCTTGGTATAAATCGGTGCCCTCTCTCAGCACTTGTTGGACTCTGTCCCTTTTGGGTAGTGAACAGGTCTGGAGGGGAGACAGTGGGATTCACCACTCCTTGGGAAACTGCTCTTAGTTTGGGGGCAGGAGATCCCTCATGTTGGGGCTCGACTGGGCAGCACTGTCCCCTCACCAGTAAATCAGGCTGAGTCTGTGCCCCACGGGACATGTGTGAGCTGCTTTCTGGTGTCCTTCTAGGCTTTGGACTGTTTCTGTCAAGCTGCATCCGAGGTGGGAAGAGAAGAGTTCTTGGACAGGCTGATCCAAGCTGAGGAAGGCGAGATGGTCTCCACCCCACACCTGCAGTACTACAACAAGGTACAGCTGAGCCACTCCAAAGCACATGGTCCTAACCAAGCAGGTCAGCACTGTCACCTCACAAAGAGCCCGTGTGGGGAGACACCTCCTACTCGACCCTCACCTTGCAGGGGAAATGACTTGAGGTTTCGAAAAAAATACATAATATTCTGTTGGGAAACTTCTTAATGGTCTGTGTAATTTCCTCGGGGATGGCAAAGACGTGACTAGAATGTAGTAAGTAACTAGTAGTAACTAGTGCAAGTACTTAATACTATATACTTTCCTCCTATGGGTTTCCTAATAGCAAAGGACTTTGATCCAGCAGAAAAAGGCAGGATGAGCTCTTGCTGCTGGAAGCAGAAGGTAGGCATGTCCAGACCAGATGGGAGATGCACGCTTTAGGCAAAGTTATTAAGCTTTGAGGCAAATTGCACTTAATGGCTCTAAACTGAGATAGGATCTTTCTTCTCACATGATAGCGTGGTTCAGACAGGTTGCAAGCTAGGACCTGGACTTACTGTAAAGGATTCCCTGCTTTTTAAAATACCTAAAATCCAAGAGTTGCCAGGTGCCCTTGGAGATGGCGCTTACCCTTCTGATACATTTTTGTTTGTGCTCGGGGACAAAATCATTTACGTGTCAGTTACAGGGTTTTACTGTAGTCATTCATGTGAAAGCAGTCAGAAAACCTGCATTCCCGCAGAGGCGAAATCCTTCAGAAAAGCCATAGCCTGGGCCTGTTGTGCTGGGACTTGGTTCAGCCAAGGCTTCCTGCACTTAGCCAAATCTTTATGCTTTCCACATGGCCAGTTAGAAACACAGGCAAACTCTTTCGGCTGCTCTTGCAGTTAGTGGTGGCTGGAGTAGTTCTGAAAAACGACCTGAGCCCTCCCCAGCCTCACCAAGTCCTCAGCACCGCTCTAGCCAACCCCGGAATATTGTCACCCCCAGGTTCTGCGCTTGCTGGACATGGTTGGTTTGCCAGAGCTGGTCATTCAGCTGGCCTCGCTGGCCATCATGGAAGCAGCGGATGACTGGAGGAGTCAGGTACACGTCATGTCTTTTACACTTTGATGTTCTCTTGGAGAAGCTGGTAACGTTTGTTTGTTTTTAATTTCTTAACTTGAAACGCGCTGGTTCATGCTCTTTGGTGTCCTCAGGCTACTTTGAGGACTTGCATCTTCAAACACCACTTGGATTTAGGACATAACAATGAAGCATACGTGGCCTTAACACAAAACCCAGATCCAAGTAGGTAGGTGACAGTTTTATGCCTTTGGACTTACCTGTGCTGGAGATCTGCATACGTGTCTGCCTCTTTCAATTCTGCTTTAAATTAAAGGCAAATGAGGTGTTAATATGGGATATAACTCTGTGCTGAGAGATTCAATTTCAGTTTGTACAGAAGTGTGTAAAAAACCTTCATCCTTGTAAGGACCGAACATCTGTAGCTGTGTTCAACTGGGACCAGCAGTATTAAAAACAATACTGCAAAAAAAACCCCAAAAAACTAGGAGCCAATGACCAAAGACTGAAGAAGATGGCATTGTATTTTGAAAAGCTTTAGCAGTCCCATCGATTTAGTTATTAAAGAAAAGATTTGGGATTGAATTTTGGTCTGAGTACCCTGTGGGAAATGAATTGGACTGAGGATGCTTCAGGCTGGTGCAGATAGTTGTGCTGAGCAGGAATTGGATGCCGGACTCCTCGGTTTTCATATTTCTTATGAATGTGCTTTAAAATTGAGGCTGAAGGAAATCTTGCAGAAATAGGGCTGAGGGAGGGAGCTCACTTTCTGGAGCGACTTGTGCAGAGAGAAGGCTCTGCCTCTGCTGCCAAAATTTCTTGTTTGCCACATGAAAGTGGTCTGAAAGGACCAAACTAGCTGCTCCCGTGGGCCAGAAGAGCCTCCCCAGCCCATGCAAGGCAGCAGATTCGTCCCGGGCAGCCGTTTGTTCTCGCTGCCCTTGCTCGGCTCCTCCAGAGCTGCTGTCCCTTTCCCCTCGCAGGCAGCTGGACTGTCTGCGCCAGCTAGTGGTGGTTTTGTGCGAGCGCTCCCAGCTCCAGGACCTGGTGGAGTTCCCCTTCGTGAACCTCCATAACGAGGTAACTAATCCCCCTGCGCTGGCACGAGGCGGGTGAAACGCTCCCGTGAAGGGAGAGGGGGGTCAACGTGCTGCATCCTCTGTGCCCCGCAGGTCGTGGGGATCATCGAGTCACACGCTCGAGCCGTGGACCTGATGACCCACAACTACTATGAGCTGCTCTACGCGTTCCACATCTACCGCCACAACTACCGCAAGGGTAGGGCACATCGCAGCGGGACAAGTGGCCTGCCTGGGCTGCCCACGCGCTCCCCGCTGTGGGGTGG